CATCACCATCACCACCATCACCATCACCATCATCACCATCACCATCATTACCAATGTCACCATCATTATCATTGTCATCACCATCATCACCATCACCACTATCACTCTCTTTACCACAATTACTACCTGCACCATCATCCAGCACCATCATTACTACCACTATTGAGGAACCAAAAATTAAAATTAACAAATATTTAAAAACTTAGGCCCTGAAAAGGGAATGTCTAATGGTAAGGGAAATTTTAACTCCTTAAATCAGGAGTGCCATGGCTGGCGCCTGATCCGCTGCTCTCAGAGAAGGGGTGGCTGTCCACCACTCCTGTTAACATTCCTTTGCTAATTGCTGGTCATAAAGATCCCCCAGTGACCCTGTGACCCTGTGACCCTGTGACCCTGTGACCCTGTGACCCTGCAACCCTGTCTTATCTCAATCAAATGGATCTCACTTAAAACATATAGCTACTGCTTTACTCTGTACTTTGTATGACCTGAAGTAACCATGGAAACTCTGAAATTTGTGGCCCTCAACCTTACGGTCTGCCCCTTTAAAAGTTTCTCTTTCTGGCTGGCTGGCATCTCCTTTGCCTGCCATGCAGTGAGATCCTAGCTGGCCAGCTTGAAACGAAGAGAAACCTTTTGCTTTTGCATCAGTGTCGACTCCTTGGGTTAGTCTCTGGGCTCCACGAACCTGTCGCCACAGCACCATTCCTGTAACCATCATCACCACCATCACCTTCAGTGTTGTCATCACCATCATCATGGCCACCACTGTGCTCATCACCACCATTGTGCCTTTCTGCTTGCTCTTCCTTTGGCTGTGCCGGCTGAGGCTATAATTGCAGGTCACACCCAGCCAGGGTTGTGGGGACCCTTGCTTGCCTTGCTCTGCAGCCTGTCAGAAGCCGGGCTCTTCAGAAGGCAGGGTCAGGACTCTGCAGGATCTCACATACTGGCTTCCACATCACTTTGTTTTCCACAGTACCCTTGTGAAGACACCTGACAGAAAGTCACAGGGACAGTTTGGACAAATGTCATTATCTTCTTGGCCTCAGACCACTGGGCAGGAAGTACTGATGGGCCCTGGTAAGAGCAGGCCAGGTCTCGGCTCTCCTCTTCTATCATTCCTCATTGAGGGCGTCTCTTCAGAGACCTCCCTGGAACACCAGGAGCCCATCTCAATACTTTCTTCAAATCCTTTAGCTCATGGCCAGCAGCAGTTTAGGTCTTTTGTGTCACAAAACCTCATCTTTTCAAATCTCCCAGAATTCACATATATGCTATTTTTTTAAAGAAAAATATTAGAAGGAAGTTCCATACTCAATACTCAATCCTTTTGCTTTTGGAGGGAGATGGGGATGAAAGCTTGCTTGGGCCTCATACACACTGGGCAAGTGCTCTGGCATTGAGCTATACCCCAGAGTGACTCTGACACTGTGTGTGTGTGTGTGTGTGTGTGTGTGTGTGTGTGTGTGTGTGTGTGTGTGTGCACATAGCCAGAGTG